GTGTTTGGTTTTAAAAGCAAAGAATGACCAGCATTGTTCTCCAAACTGGCCCATTTAAAAAGGAGAAAACTCCAACCCCAAGAATTTGGGAGTTGAAGTCCACTCATCTTAAAGTGGCCAAGTTTGGACAACACTGATGTACAGTAATATGAATAAAATATCTTATGAATCTTCATTGAGCTGTGTCTATATAATCCACTAAAAAAAAACCTTACAAGTAAGAATGCATTATATGGAAGCTACAAAAAATCTGCTCCCATTACCAGAATATGCTTTTTTAGAAAATGTATATGCCTACAAGCAAAAGCATTTTTTTAATTAATGAAGAATTTTGTCATATTGTACTCTGGTTACAATAGCCCTAAGAGATAGTAGCACTCACAAAGAATATATTTAATTGGACTGAAATATTTCAATACTTAACCCAACACCAAAAACTCTGCTGGGAAAGTAGCCAATTTCTGGTGGTAGTATTTTTTTCTTCTTCAAAAATAAGGGTGAAAATTAGAGAGGGATCTACTCCAATTTCCACTTTTCCATCATAAAACTGGTCAAAATATCAGGCTATTTTGGAGGATCTGTTGGCTTTATGGGCAGAAATGGGAGCTTTTTTGCCTCTTTCCACACTCAACACCTTTTCCACTTCCAGGAACATCAGCAGGAGCACTCCAGCTTGTCAGGGAACTGGTAGCCCACAACTCTGAGAAAATTGCCTATCCTGATTTAACATGTTATTAAAAGTTCTCCTGAATATGGTAGTGGTTAATTAATGCAGGAAATGTAACATAGGAACCTAAAACTCATACAAAAGCTTATAGATATATAGCTCCCACAAAACAGAACATTTCTTTTGATCAATACATTTCCAATCATTAGCATAGCAGTAGCTTGAAGCAACCTCTGTGCAAAGGTGGAAGATGAAAACTGGAAAAAATGTTTAGGCTGTGTGCAAACAACCGACTCAGCAAGAAACCACTTCATGGCATTAGTATACCAGTGCACATAATTATTTAACTAACATTTTAGGTTTATTGTGTTGTATAGATCTAAATGGACTCCATCTTGGTTCCTTTAAACTCAGATTTGTTTTGTTATAACACCTGACTAAAGAGATCCAAGACGGCATACATGTGAAGTCTACATAATATGAATCTGAAACTTAAAGAGCCATAGCACTCAGAAAACACAAACTCATAGTGAAATTGATTAATTCTTTAATTTGAATTAATCTTTTGGACATTCATGATGTTGCAACCATTAAGAAATTAGTGTGGAAGCCAGAGAACATGGAGATTTAAGTACAGTTCAAGCTACTGCCCCCATCCCAGAACAACAGAACTTTTATTTTGCAAAAGGTGTCATATTTTACATCTGGGATCACATGTAAAGTATCCCTTTATGACTATTCACTAATTATGATTTGATTAAATCAGTAACTGATTAAACAGCATGTATTAGGGGAAACCCATGGCTTATTACAAATTGTTTGAATACAGCTGGATACCAGCCCTCCAGACCTGGGGAAAATAATAGGGAAAAATTATTTAACTGCAAGCTTTCCAGAAGTGTCCAGTAGCTTATTTTAGAATGACGGGCTTCCCAATGTATTAAACTATACAGTGGTACCTCTACTTACGAACACCCCTACTTACGAATTTTTCGAGATA